TTTAAGATGCGTGGACTTCAACTCCCAGGATTCCTTAGCCAGCTAGGCTGGCTGGGGAATTCTGGGAGTTGAAGTCCACCTGTCTTAAGGCTGCTGAGGTTGAGAAACACTGCTTTGAAGAATGTCATTTGATGGGACCCAAGAAGGAGTCCTTTTCTGTTGCAGTCCCTGCCCTATGTAACACCATTCCCCTGAGACTCGGTTGGCCTAGGCCCTGCTGGCATTTTGGAAAACCTTAAAAATATGGGTGTTTCCCCAGTCATGGGGGTTGGGAGGTTAGTTGAGACCATGAGGGGATGTGTAGTTCACGGATGATTAGTGTTGTCCTTGTGTGTCATTATGTGTTCTTTAAAAAACATTGTTATTTAGTATCATGCATTTTTAACCCTAAGTTAGCCCCCAGAGTCACGATTGTAAGATGGGCGGCTATAGAAATGGATTAAGATAACGGATGAATAAATAAATAACATTTCTATTTGAAATGGAAATGACTGTTACATAGTAAAAGTCAGACAGAATTCTCTGTAGAATGTTTATCTATAACCAATGATTGTAACAAATGGGTTTCTGTATCGTTCCCATTAGTTGGCTTTGTCGCTTATTTTATTTCCCCTTGAAGAGGCCCTTGATGATCAAAACAGTTGGGAACTCATTTCGTGCTATTAAGCAATAATATCAATTGCAATCCTGGTGGGGCAATCTGGTGTTTTGGCCCAATTCTGCTTTGATAGCCCTGGCAGGTAAAGCAATGTACACTTTATTATGGAGGTAGCCAAACCAAGCAATCAATCCTTCCTTCCTTCCTTCCTTCCTTCCTTCCTTCCTTCCTTCCTTCCTTCCCTCCCTCCCTCCCTCCCTGCAATGGATTGTGAAAACACACATGGGTATGCTTGCACATGAACACGTGCACTCTCCCTCTGTTCTCCCACCCCCCTTATCTGCAGCGACACTTTTACAGCAATCTGAACTGCTCTGGGGACACTGAATGTGGGGCCAGGGAAGAACAGAGTCCCCATTCAGGCTGATGACCGAGCAGTTGCACAGTAGAGAATTCTGAACTCTGTTGGTTGTGGTGGAGAAGTTTGCCTTGCCCGTCTCCCCAAGTTGTGTTGTTACTTGGGGTTACCCTGGGGTCATGTGAAACAATAAGGGGGCTTCAGATGACTTCCTTATGCTCAAGACGCGTATGGCCTGGGGTCACACAAACCAATCCAAGCTGTGAAATATCCAGCAGCTGTGTGTGTGTAGAGTAGGCTTTTGATTCATTTTAAATTTGGTACGGTTTGTGTTTTTGGGTGACTAAGTGTTGCACAAGGATTGCCCAGTTTGTTATTCTATGAGTTAGTGTTTTATGCGGACCCAGCAAAGGAGCTGGTTCGGGAATCTGATTAGGCGTGTTGTGTGACTCCAGCCGGAAGGGTGTTGCAGGGCTGTACAGAGATGAGATTCACCGGTGTGATAGCTGACAGATAAGCTTTTTCTGCTATCTGTGATACCACGCATGTATGAAGAATATCTACTGATACCCAGCTGTACGAGCGTGGAAATCGTCCCCACCAGAGGTGATCCTGAGTGAATCAAGATGCACCATCCTGTGGATGCAGGCATATCCTTGCGTACATCTTAATCCCATCATTTATGGTGAATCATGCTGCCAATTTACTCCTAGCTGAGTTGCCTGATGGGGGACTCATTCACCAGGCCGAATCCCACCTCTCCTTGTCAATGTATGATAAATGTTTGTAGGAGTTCCCTTCCACCGTGGCTTTCTCTCCTTGCTACCTGCTGCCTTCTCTCTTTCTCCACGTTGTCAACTCACCTGCACAGAAGGGAGCTCTGATGTCTGTGAGGTCACACTCACAAGATTCTACAGGAGTGGACTGTTGAAGTCACAGGGGACAAGGTCCTGTGGCTTTGGAGGTGGTGGACGTGGCAATGAGAAAATGATGGATAACCTTCATAAGCCCTCTCTGGTTAGAGATTGCTTTTTGAATTGTCAAATGGGGGGATGGATGGGTTCACCCTCTCCTTCCTTGGGTGATAGCAAGCAACTTGTGCCTCAACTTTTCCTTTCCCCCTGCTCGTGGCAGATGGGTTACACCAGAAATCCTTAGAGCAGTGTTTCTCAACCTTGGCAACTTTAAGATGTGCTGTAAAGGAAAAAAATAGACAACCGACAGTAAGGCTAAAGGGGTCACGTTCTTGCTACAGGGGTCACCTTCTTGCCTGATTTCTCCCTTTACAGCAGTGTTTCTCAACCTTGGCAACTTTAAGATGTGCTGTAAAGGAAAAAAATAGACAACCGACAGTAAGGCTAAAGGGGTCACGTTCTTGCTACAGGGGTCACCTTCTTGCCTGATTTCTCCCTTTACAGCAGTGTTTCTCAACCTTGGCAACTTTAAGATGTGCTGTAAAGGAAAAAAATAGACAACCGACAGTAAGGCTAAAGGGGTCACGTTCTTGCTACAGGGGTCACCTTCTTGCCTGATTTCTCCCTTTACAGCAGTGTTTCTCAACCTTGGCAACTTTAAGATGTGCTGTAAAGGAAAAAAATAGACAACCGACAGTAAGGCTAAAGGGGTCACGTTCTTGCTACAGGGGTCACCTTCTT